AGTATTCTAAGTTAGAGCAATATTAAAATTGCACAAGCAGAATATGAGTCAGCCGTGCGGTGTGGCTGCAAAAATGGCAAATGCTATTTGGGGCTGTATTAATAGAAGTATCACATTAAATCATGTGAAGTACTGGTTCCCCTCCACTCAGCATGGATTAGGACTCATGTTCAGCACTGCACCACCACTTAAGCCAACAAAGGTGATTAGGAGACTGGAAACAAAGCCCTGTGAGGAGAGAAAGAAATGGGCATATTTAGCCTTATGCTAGCATTCTGTACGTACTTGAAGCATCTCACACACAGAGGAGGACCTTTGGTACCTTGGCAATGTGTTCCTGCCTGTAGCAAGGGAAGATGTGTTCAAAGAACCGAGTGCTTCCTTCGGGCCCCTTTAGAACAGGAGCCAAGGCTCACTTTTGCTTGCTTGCAATTCAGGCAAAGCCTCTAGGTGTCAGACTTGCACTGTTCATTGGATGCTCCTAAGCGGCCTGTAATTTTGGTGGCGGAGAAAAATGACCTAAAGTGAGCATTGCAGGGCTTCTAGCAGGTGAGTTTTCAGAGATGCAGGCTAGTTAGTTCCTGAGTGAGTAGCATAACATGCACAGCATCAGCTCGCGGGTTCTTACAGGATGCTACCAGGTCAGGGAGAGTAGCCTGCTGGGATTGCAAAGCCACTGAGGTCAGCAAAGCCAATCTACTTTGCTGCTCTCTCCAGTGGTGCTTCCTAGAACAAGGAGCAAGTCATGTGTGCATGTTCTCACTTTAAAATAAACAAGCCTTTTATTAATTTTCATTTGTTTCTAAAATCTGACAAAAGGAAATACTCTGAAGCAGTATGTACAGGCTGTCAAAATACTGGAGAAAGGGTGGGGAGAAAAGTGGGCAGATTGCATGTGGTCAGCAAATTGACAGATTTGACGAATGAAATTATTTTATTCAGCTGTTGGGCTGTGCTTGTATGCCTCTTAAACATTTAATTAGTCTGGTACCCTGGATGAGTAGAAGAATACCTTAACATTTCATGCAATTTGGATAGAAGATACAAAAGTTAAGCAAGACAAATGCAGCTGACTCTCCCATTGAAATAAAACTCTATAGAAACTATTTAGGTTGTTCAGCCTTTTAATTTGTCTATGAAATGGAAAGCCTTTATTCAATTTGTCAGATATTTGGCAGGTCTGATATCTGGGTGGAGGGCTGATGCTCAAACCTTCATGGCATTTGGATGCAAAACTCAAAAGTTGCAGGCAGAAAGGATGGACTGGGTGTCCTGCTGAAAAATCAAAGGGAAATGCAAACAAATGAATATGCAATGAGAAATGAAACTGGCTTTCAAAACAAAAAGGAGAACTAAAGCAACTTTATTTTTGCACATTCTTCTGGTTTTTCTGCTACCTGCAGTTGCAAAATATCAGGAAGGAGAATAAAAAATTTATTACAAAGATTGAATGTTACAGAAATAGACTGATTCGGATTGGGTCATTTCTTGCTCATTCCACTTTCTTTCAAAGAGTGATTAATCCTGGCTAATAGGCAGGGTAGAAATTTAATAAACAAATAAATAAGCTGAGCACTAGCTGTGGAGTACTTGCTGAATGAAAAAGTTACTAGTTAAGGAAATCAAGGAGTAGCCATTGCTGTGTCAAGACCTGGTCATCATGCATACAAGGCATCAGTCAATTAATGTAGTTGGTAGCTGGCCATGGGTAAAAGATGGGAGTTGGAACTAGCTGGATGTCTCCAGCGCATCAAATCACATGGACTCTCACTGCAAATACTTGGCATTCCATGTTGCTGCTGCTGTTGTTTTTTGGGGTGGGGGTCATCCAAAGGATGAGTCCAAGCCAACCACCTGAATAGTTAGTGGCAAGCTTTCTGGTGCCTGAAGGAGAGTCCACATCTGGAACAACCTACCTGGTGCTGACTATTGTATATAAGCGGACTAGGTTACAATGCTAAAAATGTAGATTTACATGTTAAGTTTGGCTCAGCTTCGGCTTTTAGGTCTTAAAGTGCTGCTCCTTAAGTTTAGAAACAGATCTCAGATCAAAGTTAAGAGTTCAACTTTTTAGTCAGTTTTTGTTTCTTTTTGGTTTTTGGGTGCTGTAAACCACCCAGACTTTGGCAATTGGATGGTATAGAAATTGTATTAATATTATTAGCAGCAACCTAGAAAGTGCATCCTAAGCCAGTGACTCTGCCCTTTGCATTTTGAGAACAGCTCAAACCACTTGCTTTAATCACCTGTCCACTATTTATTGCCCTCTTTTCTGACTACATACATACACACATGTGCGCATGCACCTCTCTCTCCCCTCACTCCCCATGGGTTTAAACTTATTTAGTTTTTCACTCCAGTAAAGACCAGTAGTTGAGCCACACTATCCCTTCTTTTTAAATAATTCCTTCTAGTCTAATTGGCTACAGCACTGCTTGGGGGGAACTCACTAAGGCTATAAATGTGTGCAAGGTGGGAGGAACTCCAGCTCACCAAGGTCAAGACAGAGACTGCAGCTTGGCCCATGCAAAGTGTCAAGGTAAAAAGTGAAACACACAAGGTAACCACCACTGTGGGTTTAGCAACATGGCAAGATCAGGACAGTTGACCTTGCTCCCCTTCTCCTGTTCACTTGCTCACTTTTCAGGCAACCAGCTTGAGTAACAATAAAAGAAATAGCTGTGTAGGTAGAAAGCTAGCAGAGATGAGGGAGTGATCCAGTTTGTTATAGTTATGTGCATGACTATATGCCAGCTGGAGAGGAATCATGGGTCTGAGCTCAATGTAAAAAGTTCTTGGCCCTCAGGGAAGTTTGTTCTCTTGAATCAACACAGAAAACCTCCATCATTAGCAGTCAAGCCCTTTCCAGATCTGGTAATGGTATGCCTACCATTGGCTGACAGCTCCTCAGCAGTCAAGGAAAATGGTCTCAGGGAACGAGCACATCATTTTGAGGAAAATGATGGTCTCTTAGAAGGGACCTATTCCTTGGAGACCAACAGATAGTCTCATGTGGAGCATATCCCTTCAGGGGTGAGGTTCTTGACTCAACCATTAGACTGATGGGCTTGTGATTAGCATAAGGTCTATCTGCTTGGTGCAAAAGTTGAAGATACCATGTCTCCTGGATGGGTTTGTAGATAGTTCTGAGGATGCAATCAGTTGTTGCAATGCATGGGGAAATGTTGTTTTGAGGTCTTGGAAGCCAAGTTGCTAGGTAGGAGATTGAAAGCCAAGACCTCCAACTTAGCCTTCTCTAAAATGCTACCTGTTCCATACAGCAGGCCAGCTAAACAAATGTGGTCGAGGCATCTCTAGGTATACATGGAATGGTTGTGTGGGGACAAGTAATGACCATAGAATATTTTGGGACAAAATAAGTTGGGTCTGTACAAAAGGGTAAGCGTCACCCTAAAATGAAACATGTATGTTGATGCTTCACACACAAAGTGGCAGAGAACCTTTCAACTAGGCAAAGCTAACGCAAGCTGGGAAGCAACAAGCTGGGGCTGAATCATCCCTAATGTTTCCAATTGCCCAACTGAGTAAAAATCATGAGCATACAGTACATGATAGACAAGGGTCATAGAAGAAATTGCACATGCCAAAGATGTGTGACCTGTACATGTTTCTGTGCGAGTGCAAGAATTGTCTAATCCAAAGTGATTGGTTTTAAGTGCAAAGTATCTTGGACATAACTGAAACCCAGTGGGATCGGTGGAGCATGATTACCTGTTGGTATGAACTCTATAGCAGAGGTACAGATCTCCAGACTCTGAGGGTCTGCATCAAGGCTGCAGACCCTCCTTGGGATTTTCTATGTGGCAAGGCCAAAGATTGGAGGTAACAAGAGATTCAAGTGGGGGGAGGCATCTATCCCTGGAGTGGTTGGTCTACCCAATACTGGTCTACCCAATACTGGATGAGTTTTGCTCAGTAGCTTGCACCACCACAAGGATGGGAATTTTTTCATAATTTTTTTCATCATCATCATCATTTCCCATTTTTTCATGGGAATTTTTTCATCATTGGGAGGAATTAGTTCCCTTTTCCATGTAGATCATAGATCTACAAAATTTTGTAAACCCATCATGAGATTTTTAATGGATGGTATAGAAAAAAATTAAGCAGAACAGAGATAGCCTAGCTACAGGTATCCATGTTCCAGTAACCTCTCATCTGAGTAACTGTATTATACATGAGCTGCCTTTGAAAATGGTTCAGTAACTTCAGATGGTGCAATTTAGGGCAGTGAGATGGATAATGGGGCTAGGCCAACATGGCATACCTGTATTGATCTGTATGAATTGCCAGTCCATTTCTGGGCCTGATTTGAAGTGCTGGGACAGTATTAATATTTAAAGCCCTAAACAGCTTGGGGCCAGTTTACCTAAAATACTGTCTTCTTCCACATACTTTCACAATTCGGTACACAAAAAATTACGTTAGATATTGAGGTTAAGAGAAAGGCATGGAGGCATTTTCTAGAAAAAAGTTAGAATGCTTCTTTCAGAACTTCCCAAGTCAGACTAACAGGACAATGTTCCTGTGATTAACTTGATTAACTATTCAACATCTGTACAGTAATTCCATTTGCACAGACTCAGGAAGTGTGATGAACCAGAAGCTTGACTTACCATGGCATTCTGGGCAGTGAAGGTGTGCAGCAGGCAGGAAAAGATTAACTCTCCATTCCTAGGAAAGCAGGTTTTCCTGTAGCAGTACCTGCCCTCACGTACATTTTTTGGTAGGTGCAGGTGTTATACAAATTTTCTCCCAAAAGCACTTTTAATATGTAAACAGGTTGAGTCAACCTGTTAAGCTGCTCATTTGACAGTTAACCTCATAAAAACTGGTTCAATGTATCAGAACAGAGGAAGTACTGAATGATACAAGCTCTAAAGCTTTTCAGCATAAAAATACATATTTATGGCAGCTGAGTATCTGAGTCTGCAAGAGCCACCAGACTGTTATGAATGACAGCAGGGAAGCAGAGAACAGTGAGTCAAACCAGACAGCTCTTTAATGGATCGTGACAAAAGCACTGCTAGGTCTCATAAACCATCAGCATACCTTGATGAGGAAAGACAGACACTTTTTTAACAGTCAATGAATTTTTCAAACACAAATCATGTTTCTCACCTACAAAATCAAGTACATTTAATGCTAGATGAAGGGAAGATAGAAGGTTTAAGTGATAGAAGGCCAAGCCCTGTGGATGCATAACCAGCTTCTATTCAAACAAACTAATGTCCAATTGGAATGCATGGAGGCTGACTATATGCATTGCTTAGAACAGCAAGCTTATGCTCAAGGATCCACAATAGAGATGATTTAGCACCAGATTCTCAATCCCAAACATTTGAAGAATTTAACAGGCAGGCCAGAGTAAAATCTTATTTCAGTAGATTTGTAAATAGCCACTTACTTGTTTGTAGCAAATAATAAATCTCCAGCTGATATGGAAGAATCCATCAAAGTTGGTTACTCTTTGTCCTGCTACATATTCGCATGACTATCCTGTAATATTACCATGCATGGCCAAAACCATCACCTTCCCAATGTAATGTAACAACTAGGAACATAAGGACTGCTTAATTAGAATGCTAAACAGGCAAGTTTTTTTAAAAATGCAGCATCAAGTCATGACTAGTCACTTTTTGCAAAGAAAACCCAAGTTTATTTTGTAGTAGCAATAGTTTCTTTTTTATTTTTAATATACTTTAGGAAACAATATACAAAGCTGAGCTTTCCCACTATTTTCAAACAGTGAGACACTCCAATTACACAAAGTCAGCGTTTTGTGATGGCTAAGAACAGCAGTCAGCACCAGACTTGAACAGTTAGCTACAACACAAACATCCTTTGAAATGAAATGTCATAATAGTAAGACAGGTAAAACCAGGAGTTAACATATGACAACTGTTGGGGAGGTGTCACTGATCCTTGTTGAATGTCATTAAATATGTTATACACAATTTTCTGTTTACAATTTTTTAAACAAAACCTCCCTTGAGGACTTATTTTCGATACAAAAGTATTCAACAGGAATAGCTCTGATAAAGAATCCCCAAAGAGTCCAAATTCTAATATATATTTTGACCAAAGGAAATGAAAACCAGTGTTTCTTTGTTTTAAACATGTTTATTACAACAGATACAATTCACATCTGACTAGCTTTTTTTCCTTGTTTCCCTCCCACAACCAATGTTGACATGTTCATTGGGCTGTTTCCTTATAATCTGAGAAAGGGATGTACTTTCAGCACACATGCCCAGCAGTACTACCAGTCCATTCTTACAGGGTGCAAATGGAAATACATTTCAATAATTTATACAAACAAGTGGGTTATGCTCAATCACTGCAATTTTAAGCTACTGTACACAGGAATGAAAAGATTATAGAAAAGTGCCATAGCAACAGTGCCTTAAGAAAGGAGAAAATTAGAAGAATTATAAAACTGATAAAATCGGATTTAGGATTTCAAGGGGAAAATGAACACAGAAAATGAAAAACACTGCTCTGTAAAACAGAAATGGAAAAGCACTGCTCTTGATTCGGTGCAAGTGTGGAAACAGTTGTTTCATGATATTTGTACATTACCCAAACTGTTTCTAACTGTTGCAGCCTTGAGACACAGATCGCCTGGCGCTTGCATTGAATTTTAGGAAATGCAAGATTTCTGAATGATAAATTAACTAAAAAAGAGAGCTAATTTTGCAGACAGGTTTACATGTAAAAGGCTAGGTATTTAGCCACCTCAGCATTGATTAGTTTTGGATGTCTAAGCTCTGATACACATGGCTTCCCATGGCTTCACTCTACAAAACATATTTACAACGTGAAGAATACATCTACAAGAAATCTACATTTCAAGGGTTTTACAAATCAACCTTGTATCCTTCCCCTGAATGACTCCCCTCCTTTCCCCTTTCCCATGTCATTTTGTTTTGCCCAACTCAACGGTCCAAAGTCTACTCAAATGCAGCTCAAAAATGTTAAGACTGGGCAACCAGTTTTACAGTTCCTGTACTCAAAACCCATGTGCAATTATTCACAACTTTTCACACCATGAAGGAATTTTGATTCTTTAGTTTTTCAAGTTCTTTAATTTGTTGTCTCAAAAATAGTATCCTAGAAAAGGAAAAGAATAGAATTAGTACATGGCATATCAAATCTGTTCTTAGATGAGCATTTATTCTTAAAAATTAGTATTTTAAGAAAAGACATGCATATTTTAAAGTTAGTTATTTGATCTATAACAGGTTGATGGATAATACTGTGAAAAACAGTTGTGTATGTTTGTTTACGTTTTTTAAAAGTACAAAATTGCTGGGCCTAGAAATGGTTGACCTACCTTATTGGTACACATAATGGACTAAATAATTGTTCAAGATCCAGGAGCACACAAGGGTACCTTCAGTAGTTCAATGGCTGTGGAGGGAGGTATTATGCCTGTTTAAGTCAATATCATCCTGTATGTTAAGCTGTTAACAGTTTCTAGCCCTTTTGTACACTAGGGAATGTAGCTCAGGTTTTACCAAAACTATGAAACCAACAAATAGATGAAAGATCAGGATAATGCACACAGAATAAATTCTTACCTTTGCTCACGCAAAGTTGCTTGAATTTCACATACTCGAACTAAGGATCTTAAATTTTTTAATTCAGTACAAATTTCTGACATGTGAACACTTCCCATGTTATGAGCTTCTTCACGTAATCTTGATGCCTGAAAAAGGGAGAAAGTAAAATGCAACAGTTTGCAAGCCTTATGAAGCATATGTGCGAATACGAAGAATGATTTAGCAAAGTAGAGTATTACTGGAAAAATATTTAAGCACCTTAATGCATGAGCAGCACTGTGTAGGAACACAAACACCTGAAATTACAACAAAATAAAAGTGCACTAAGAACTGTTTACATTGTTTAAGCTCTTTCATTAAAGAATGTCCACATTCTGTCTACACATAGATTAATTAGAAGAAAGTCATGTTCCTCTCTACCAAGAGTTTCATAATCCTGCTGTTGAGACTGTGAATAGGAGAATCAGGCAGTCTTGAGCTTGTCAAGGTTCTCCAATATCCATTTCAAAGGTTGGTTCACCTCATTCCTAAATACAAGCTTTTTACCTTTCCTTTTCAAATGGGAAGTGTGCATTTTTTGTCCTGAAAAAAATGAACTCAAATGTGTACTTTCCCTACACTGAAGCATGAAAATGTAGTGGCTATTTTTCTTTCAAATTCACATTTTAAAATGGCTATTTTCCTAAAGAAAGCATTGTTTGAATTCAATCACAAGTTTGGGAATATGTGAGATTTGGCTGAGAAATGCACACTCACCAGGGCTGAGAATGAAGCAAGTTCCTCAAAATATAAAATAATATAGGGTATGAAAGTACAGAGCACAGACAAAAATACAAAATGGTGGCTCTAATAAGCAAAACACTTTTCATGAAATTTTCAGGAGTTGTTTCATGAGTATGTCTTTCTTTAAAAGGAGAAAAGAGTCAAATTAACTGACCCACATGAACTTTCAAAGCTGTCCTAAAAGAAGTTAAGATGAGGATAGGTGTGCTCATCTTGAAATCTCTCATGATTGTCACAGAATTTCTGATGAGCTGGGACACGATCATTTAACAAAGAAAGGGCACAGACCTATGACCAATTAGATGCTGTCCAAGACAGCCAAAGGATAAGTCAAGGTCCAACTCAGAAATGTATTTAAGCTCAGAGCTGGGATTCTGTGAACTGAACATTCTCCCCTAACTTCTGGAGCTGATGAGGGAAGGATTGTTCAGGCGAGGGGAAGAGTGAGACTTCATTGAATTAAGTGTCCTATCCATGACTCCTGGTTACAAACAGGGCCAAACAACGCAGATGAATTAAACTGGTAGTCTATGCATTATGCAGGACAAGCATGGGGGCAATCTTTACTTCCGCACTCCTTCCATCCAATGCCCATAGTCCGTCTATTTGTAGGATTATGGGCAGCCATACTGGATGGTACCCAAAGGCACTTAAACACAACATTCATTCTCACATTATGGGCTGGAAGTAGTATCTTTAATTCATCACTTCTGAACAACTAATAGCCTTTAAGTTTCAAAAATAAGATACTTGACCTTAGGTCCTATCTGAGTCTTTTGATGTCAATTGTCTTTGGGCTTGCTTAACTATGAACTGCTCTGAATTCTATTCACTCTAAAACACACAATTACAACTTTATTCATTTATGCCAGAAGCAAAAAATATTAACATCATCTCTACTACCCAATCAGGTAACATTCTTCTGCTTTCCTTCTTTTTTCCTGCATTTTAGGGAGTGGAGGGAGAGATTCAACCCTTTTTGTCAAGTCAGTTAGGTTAAGAAGGCCAGAGGTGAAAATTACAGTGCAAGGTTACACCACTTCAAATAAAGTAAATGTATTTGCATGATTGTAGTTTAATATGACAGTGTACTTAACTCATACTTTCTTCAGTATCTCCTATAAGATATGAGCAACCATCATGTAAATATGATTAAGTAGTTTAATAGAATACAAATATCAAAGTTCAAAAATGCAGAATTAGAATTGGTCTTGTTTAAACAAGAACAGAAATGAAGCAAACAAGAACAAGTGATATTAAGCCCATGTTTTCTCTAATACATATGTCAAAACAGTTACTTGTAAATTTGTACATGATATTTTGAACTTTCCACAGGAAAGAATAAGCTATTTGGTGGCCCCCCACAATTCAAGCTTTCATTAGTAAGATCATTGCCCAAAGACTGTAAGGGGCAGTAATTTATAGAGTTAAATGCCTTGGAGGTAATCCAAAAACAGTTCTTAAAAGCATTTCCATGCCTGTTTGTGATTATTCTATCAAAATGAGAGAGTAAAAGCACTCATCCTGTACTGGTTGTAATAGTAAAAGATGGAAGAGAACAATTATCTTTAAAATGTATCATGCTACAAAATGTTAATTTAGGCAATGCAAGCTGTATGTATCCTTCTGTAATTTAACTCTGAGTAGATTAGATTCTTGAAAGGTTTATTAAAAACAGGGTGTAATGCCTAATACTTCAACAAACCTGTGAGGCTTTACAGTGTTAAAGCTATAAAATATAGACAACATCCTGCTATTAATATCTTACTGCCACCAGTCCCAGCTTTATAATATTTCCTGACTGGGCTGGAAGCACCCTTACACTTTATAATTCTGAACACAGGAGATAGGGGCAAGATAAGGCATTGAAGGGAATACCTTAGAGAAGGACTCTAACAAGAAGGCACACCATATATTTCACTAAATTCTCAAACAGGCTTTTTTATTCTCAGCCCAAAAGAGCAGAGTTTGCAGATGGGGAACAAAGATTGTAATACAGAGCAACTTAAAACAAGCATGCCTTTTAGTTTCTAGTTACAGCATTCTGAAGAACAGGACAACTACATATGTGACAAGACAGGTTCACCTAGTCTCACCTCTTGTTAACAGCCTTTTCCCTGACAAGTCCAGCCATTAAGATTGTATTCTCCTCCCCCTTCTAGATTCTATGAAGGAGGTGAGGCCTTTTCCTCAACCAACAACTTCTCAGGCTGAGCTGTCAAGCTTGCCAAGATTGCTAATTACACAGGAGTAAGAGCAAGGATTGTCAATTCATCATGGAAAATAGAACAGATCAGGCATGCAATAAAATGTTGCAGCATGGCATGTCCCTATGCAAAGTTCAATTCCATGTCCCTCAATTGATAACAGAATTAGTTATGTTTTATGCAGTCCTCTGTATACGGCCTAGGTGAGGTCTATGCAGCAGTTCTGTGGAAGTTGTGCATTCTAGTAAAATTTGCTATCTGTTGTCTAACCAGGACAAGGTACAACCTATAGGTCAGATTAGTTGGCACCGCAACTAATACATATTTCATTGCAGTGCATTTTTCAGCCCCTTTTCATATAGATTTAAATGGACTCAATTTAGATCAATCCATCCTGGTATTCATGGAAAACACTTTGGGAGACCCAAGCTGGTTATCCCACCACCTTCCCTGACCACACAAGTTTTTGTCACCAATAACTGCTATTAAAACAACTGGCAACTTCTAATGTAACCCCGTCCTTAGCCATTGGATTAGGAGGTGTAATATCAAAATAAATTCACTTATTTACTGTACTAAATGGCACAATGATTGGCGTTCTCTGGGCATTGTATGATGCATTAAAATGTAACATACACACTTAAAAACAAAACAAAAATAAAAGCAGATTAAAACAAGCAGCAGAATCAAAATACTGAATGACCCAGAAACAATTCCTAAAATGCCTGGTTGGGGAAGAAGTATAGCACAGGGAAGATCATAATGTAGGCCCAAGGCAAAGATGCTCTGGGAAGCATTTCACACAGGAGTGTGACCACTAAAAAGGTACTCTCTCATAGCCACCTGTCTCACCTTATTTTTCAGGCATAGCTGCAGAAGGAGCTACAATGCTAATCTTAATATCCAGGTAAATATAAAAGGATGCTTCCTTCAACTACGTGGACCCAAGGGAGGATTTAAAGGTTAAAGCCAGTAGTTTGAACTGGGCCCATAAATGGACTGGCAGGTAGCACAGGAAGTAATGCTGGCATAAAACTGGCAGTTTCAAGTTGCTGGATTGTTTTCAAAGGCATTTCCATGTAAACATGTCACTATAATCCATATTTATTAAAGTGAAAGTACATTTCAAGACAATATGTAAAAATGTCTACCTATCCTGTTTCTCCCCACCTCCTACAACTCTATGACAGCCATGCACAAGAATGACTCCAATCATTTTTGCACTTCAAAGTTAGTTAGTATGAATAATTGCTTTAAAGACTACCAGGGTTCACAAAAATTCTGACAGAGGTAATATAACACATAAAAAAGTAACACTGCAGAAAGTGCACTCACTTGCTTTTCTGCATGATCCGCAGGCCATCCTTGAACATGTTTTATAAGATTTTCATTGAAATGTCCTGCTAACGTGGGTGTTAATGAACACGTAGGACGTGCAGATGCATTCTGTGGTGCCGTTGTATTTGAAGCACTTGTACTGGAGGTATGATTTGGACCAGGGGATGGACTTCTCTGACTACTTTAAGACAGACAAAGAATAAACAGTATTATTTGTTGTGTCACTATTTTATTTATTTTACCATTTTTCTTATACCTTGCTAGCCACTGTGGGAACATGAATTTACATTGAAGATGCAAGATATAAATTTAAATATAAATGATTTATTAAGCATCTGAGAACTAAACAGAATTCATCCAATCTCTTGGTCAATATAATACCCTCTGTTATTATTTATGGAGTTGTAGCCCATTTTAGAGCGACTGCCTTCTCAATGCAAAAATACCAATAAAATAATTAAAATATGAATAGCAGCTGATAGAAATAATTAAGCATCTGACAACTATAAAATCAGACAAATATAGATCAGAATCTAAAGAGTCTTCAGGTTGTGTTTTCATTTTCTTTCAAACTAAGTCTGTTTTAACTAAAGTGGATGCAGGTGGTGGGGGAAGAAAGTATTCAAATCAGGTTTAACCTGTCTGCTAAGTACTTGTAAGAAATATGTGAGTCCTGCCAAAAATCCAAAAGTGAAGACCTGCTACCCCCAATCTTTGCCAAGATTTCATCAAGTTTTTTTTTCCTGTGAAAGTCATATTAGGCAATTCATACTAAAACAGTCTTTCTCAACCTGAATGATGGGAATTGAGTACAACACACCTTGAGGGCACCAGGTTCATGAAGACAATACTAAAGACTTCTATTTCCATTGCTGACTTTCTACTATTCAGTACTGGCCCTTCCACCAGACTGAGCCACATAGCTCAGGCAACACACTGCATCCCGCAGCTACTGCTTACTCCCCTGGAATGCTACTTGCAAGAAAATAGCCAGCAGTACTTCTGTGAGGTTCTATGAAGCGTGCTTCACCCTATGACTCTTGTTCTGAGGAAGGGGTTCTTCCAAGTAAGGTGCTGTGGATGAGGTAGACCAAGAAAGCATGTGCACTCCCACTTGTTTGCTATGATTATGACAAATATTGCTTAAAATATGACTTGATTTTTTTAAGTACCTGATGCTCTCATGGGAAAATGATAGTAGGGTCATTCTGGAGGGCACTTTTCCCACAATGCCTTGCTCTGAACATGGCTGTGAGGGGTAAGATGCACTGGAAATCTTGAAATTGCCTGTGCTGCCAACGCTAATGAAGCTGCAAGTTTATCCCATCTCACCTGGCACAATGTCTTGCTCCATCCTAAGTACTGTTAGGTAGTTTCCCATTAGATGCCCCATGAATTTAGCTTAAAAGAACCTCAGAGTACACAGACTGTCAATTCCACACAAAACCTTCCTCTTTTCTGCAATCAAGTTACTACACTAAATAAATATTACAAATGATATCACTTGCATCAGTGTTTAACATGCTTCACTTCATGAATGTTCTTCATACTGACTAATGCTGTGATATGAACAGCAGCCATGGAAAGGTACCTTAATTCAAAACTATCATCACTGCTTCCTTCTCACAAGCCCATCATTGGGTTAATAGTATCACAGCTTCACTGTGAATGCTCTGTTTTAGACTGGGAGTTTAAACCCTTAAAAATGAATTCCACCGGAGACACCTGGATTGACAATTTAACAGTTTATTTTCCTAAGAAAATGGGGCACATCAAGCCAAGCTGGATCATGATTATCCATTTCTTGGTAGAGCTTCATTACAGTTACATGTTCTATAATAGTACATATTTGGCAAAGAATTTCCCAATAGTTTATTTTCTACTAATAGTAAGTGGCTATTTCAGACATTCAATTTCAATCTGTAGCCTACTTCTGAAACTCTTTGTGACAGCTATTTAAATATCTGCAAATACTGTGTAACTTGTAACACTGCTACCTGGAGAATGATGGGACTTGTAGTGTTTTCTGTCTAAACACAACATAGGATTGTAGCCTGAGTAACTGAAATATGGCTGAACTATTCCAGCCTTCCTCTCTCTTGGCTGCTGTTCTAGAGACAAAAGCTGAGCTAATGAGCATTCTTATGCTAAACAAATGTAATAGTTTATGTTGTACTGTTAATGTTATTTTATAATGTAAGGATATTGCTCACTAGTGCATGCCCTGTAGCTCACAAGGGGTAATATTTCAGAGTGACATTATATCTAAAAAGGAAGGTTACTATTACCACTGTGTTTTATCTGTGTGATGCATCTGAGGGTAGCTATCTCTTCCTACAGATAATGGTTGATGGTACTTGTATCGCAGGAACTGGGCAAATACTGACATTACTGAGTAAGGCAAATTAAACTTCTGTGTTAGTCTTTGTCAAGAACTATACAACTATTTGTGCAATTCAGTCTCTGGCACCTTGAGAAGTCAATCTCTGATTTGGAATGTGTTATCACTCCTGCTATCCAGTGCCTTATGATTTTGTAAATGTTCTTTTGGCTTCTGAATGGGTGACTTGCCTTTTGCTCAGCTACAGGGTTGACAACCCTCCTACATGGAATCTTCAGATGAGTGGGGAAAGGATTATCAAATGTTATGGGGGTAATCACATCTTTTATTTATGCAAAGCATAAAGGAAATGTGAGGAGAATGCTCCATAATGAGTCTCTTGTTACTGTCTGAATGTATCCTGGTGCTACAATAGTACTTGGTCAGTGACCTCCGGAATGACTAGCTGCTTGAATTCGCTAATAAGCTTGTCCTTTGGCCCAGACAGGGATGCTAGCAGCAATGCCTGGTGAAATAATTAATGGAAAGGTACTGAACCTTATTGAGCTTGAAATCCAAATCACAGTTCTTGGCTGAATGCAGGCAAAGGGGGCAGGAAGACATACCAAAAACAGCAGCATGTGTTGTTCTTGTCGGTAACTAAGCCTTAGGGGGGCATTTCAACTTTTTAGAATAGACAAAGAAATGTGAAATCCAGGAAACCATCAAATGATCAATGATTAGGGGAATGGACCATGGCCAATTCAATTCAAGAAGATCTGAAGGTAGGCATTACCGTATCAGATTGGAAAAGAACACAGTACCTACTGGGCATTCCTGACAGAAAGTATAAAGTGTTACCCTAGGCAGAAAAGTGCATCTCTTTTTGACATGAAATAGAGATCCTGACCACCACCCTCATTATGACACATGACATGTTCCTGCTCCCTAATTGTACCCAAATGCTCCTGCCATGAACTGGTACAGAGAGTGGCACCAAAGCATGGCTAATGCTAGCACCACTTAAAATGAATACAAACCATCTGGTGAGCACTTCCTTCCAACAAGAAGCAATCTTGCTGATTTTGATTTCTAGTTAGCTACACTTGGCCTTTAAAGGTGTGGTGCAGTACTAATGTTGGATAAGGCTAGCATAAGTGAGCTCACCAAATGTCTCATGTCCATTCAAGGTATTAGGTGCAGCTGTAGCAGTAAAAGAACAGCCAAGGCTCTGAATTCACTGCTTGGTATTCTTTAACACTTAAAATATCTAATCACATCTGTCTTTTATTTTGTAGACTAAATAGTATATCCTAATTTATTAAGCCAGGATTCTAAAGCCAGCCATAAATTATGTTTTAACCAAAGCAAGTGGCTAAAACAACAGAAAAACACAGCTCATTCTACTTCACATGACAATTTATTGGTAATTTCCAAAATATACATGTTTTTACTCTCTTCATAAAAGTTTAAGTGATAGCAATGGATTTTAAACTCCGCAAGAATTTAGAAATAATACCCACATGAATTCTGCATTGTGCAGATCCATGTGGAAGAAAGTTCTATTTTAAGTCAGCTGTGCATATACCCAAGTCTCCAAGTTTACTGAAAAACACTTTAGAAAAATGTGCACACAGACATGCCATTATTCCAGTTTTGTGTTTATTGGAAAATGCACAAGTATTTGCAGAAAGTTTCCCCTACTAAATTATACTTCTATTCTATTTACAGCAGAATCCCCTATGAAAACCTTAAACTATAAAATACTTAGCACATGCACTTAAGAATCACCTTAACTTTTCTTAATACTAAGACATCACCTTCTTGGCCTCAGTTGTAACAACTAGAATTTTGCCCACAGTTTATTTAACATTGCCCTGGTTTACATTAACAGCCAACCATGGGTTTCTTAATTCAGTTAGCTGGGGGTGTGCAGGAGAGAGCAAGACCACCACCTCCTGACTGCTAGCCACTTGTTTCACTTCCAATTCACAAAATAATACAAGAACATTCTGTTCCATGACATGTGTACACTGAACTTTGGATTACTGAGGAAAATAAATCTCAGAGGGGTTATGTTTACACTTAAAGGCCGCCTACTGATTTAAAACTGCCCAGCAGTTAACCCAAAAACAAACTGTTGGGTTGTTTAGCCCCATTCGTCAGGCTTCGTATACCACACTGACAGAGTGGGTTATACACAATGGGAAAGGGGCTAAGAATGGCATGCTGAATCTCCAACAATGTATCAGTTTAAAACATGAGTTGTTCTTAGATGCAAATCAAGCCAGAGTTTTAACTGAACAACCAACCACTGTTAAAACTCTGGGTTGTTTCTCACTCAACAATCCAGAGCTTCAGGTCTGTAGGCTATGGAACAAAACAAGAGAAGTTCAAGTTCCTGAGTTGTTTTGTAACGCAGAATTAAAGCAGTATTGGTGGGTGATCAGGAGGCAACAAACTTGTTTATTCCTACACACCCATGACAACTGCCTTTATTTAACCCATGGCTCATTATATCCAAACCAAGCAGTTATGTTTATAGTTCATAAACTATAATTTTTCCTGTCAACATTTGTTTTTTTAAAGCATTTTTTCAGGACATTATGCACGTTACTCAAATTTATCATCAATACTATGTAAAAAATCAAGAGTTACCCATTTTAAAGATCTATACCTATGAAAACCATACATTGTAAAATCAGTTCTTATATAAAACAGTATGTTTCTGTCTATTCAAAATTTAGTCTGCCTTCACAATCAGGAGACATACTCTCTTTAACCATACAGACCACCAGAGAGTGCATATGGTGTATATTTCTGGTATGCCAAACTGTTTAGTACAAAGGGTAACATACATGTTTTAAACAAAAGTAGGAATTTGATACAATTAGAGTAACCCATTTTAGTTTTAATTAACACTGATGCTAAGAAATTAGCTTTACATTCACTAACAGCGCAGAAGCATTAAAGCACTGTCTTATTTGTACTGGCTTATTAACATTAACAGCTTGCAGCAGATTCAAAGACAATACACAAAAAGGCCCTAAGATTTCATCTCATGTCTGGACACTGCTAACACACACTTGGGGTGAAGAAACAGCTTGTGAACCTGTCTGTTCTTCATTTATAACTTAAGACATCAAAATTCCAGAACAGACAGATGTCAACTCACTAAAAACAAACATAAATTTAATTCTATATACTACTGCTCTAATTATATAGAATTATTAAACAAATTTAATTCTATATACTATTGTTCAAATTAGAGCACAGCATTTTGCACTGTGGGTGAAATCCAAGAGTGTTCATCTACAGCAAAACAGTACACATTAGCAGGAAGAGCTTCCTCTCCTTTCTGTAGCTCACTTGCCTTCCCCCCGATCTGCTCAGGAAGATTGGGGAACCAGAGGAAGGGGGCTGTAGGTGGGAGGAAAAAGTATCACTGCAAGAGCAGAAATGTACTCATGCAATATTGAACATAGCCATCAGATTTCAATGTTCTGTCCCTGAAGTCAAGAATCCTAGACCAGTTTTATTTATGGTGAAAAAACATACCATTCAAATTAAGTCTCCAGGGAATCAACATCTACTGAGGTACAGTATTATTATTTATTTAATTTTATACTGTCTAGTAGCTAAAGATCTCTTTGCAACAATATGGCAAAGTCAAAACTTAGAACAATTTAACATGTACCTTGAACGCTGAAGACTTCGAGGAGAAGCAGGTTCATGACCTTGTTGTTTGTCAGCAACCACTGGCTGCTGAGATGCTGATTGTGAAACTGGTCCTTGCTTAACACCTGAAGTAGTAACCTGAAAGTTCAAAATGTGATTAGATTTCTGTATTAGTCCAAATAAGCTCCTGCATCTTATTTACTTCCTCCATAATTATGCCCAAAGTAAGAGTAAATATGAATACAAGAAACAATATTTAAGAATGTATGCAATGTTCTGGAGCAGAGAAATTGGCACTCTCATGCTTCATCAGTCACTATGCTGGCTAGGACTGAAGAGGGCTACAATCCAACAACATCTAGATGTATGTAAGTTCCTTTAACTGCCCTAAAGTGTTCCATCAATATGATTGCAGCATATAGATCAAGCTTTCTTCTCTGACAGCAAAATCTTGCCACTAACTATGACCCCTCAGATCACCAAACGTGAGCTGTAGGATTGTACTCTAAACCACTTGTAACAGAAGTTAACCCACTGACCATAAAAAACAAAATTATTGGCTTTAGTATCTTTCAAGATAAGTGGTCCAGGTTGGGAATTGAAGCAATGTGGAGTTCCATTCCTACATGGATGGCTAATTCCAGAAAGCAGTTGCTCTGTGCCTTGGCTGCTATGCTATTGAGTTCCATGGGGCTCTATTCTGTCCCCCTTGTTGAGTCATTATCCACAGGAACCCACTGGGAAAGGTCATCCAGAGTTGTGGTCTGAGTTGTCATCAATATCTGAATGACAGCCAGCCCTATCTTTTTCATCAAACTGCAATGAGACAGTGGCTGCTCTAAATCAGTGTCTTATAATGGAGTGAATGAGGGTCAGTAAACGTAAACTAAATCCAGAAAAGGCAAAGGTGCTCTTTGTGAGAGGTATGCCAGCCTTGATGCTTGATATCTAATCTATTGTGGAGGGGGCTGCTCACCCCCTAAAGGATCAGCATTACACTTTTTCAAGGTGCTGTTAGATCCATCATTTTGATTATAGGCATTGGTGGAGTTGAAGGCATTGAGCACCTCTTATCAGCTTAGCCTGATATACTAATTACATCCCTATCAGGGCAAGGATATTCTGAGTACAGTTATCCATGCTCTGGTAAACTCTCATCCATATTACTGTAATACATAATATGTCGGGCTGTGTAAGCTGCTTTGGGTTTCTTGAAAGAAACCAGAATACCCTATTTAAAACAAATTAGAGAAAAATGTTGTAATGGAAATTAATTAAGGGAACAATTCTACTGCCCTTAAACAGCATCTAAGAAGCTACAGGATACTTTGGATTCCCAAATCCAAACTTAAAGACAGAGCAGACCCTGATCATGGTAAAGACCATGATCTGGGGAGGAGATTGGGGCCACCAAGATATGAAGTATCCTGACAACAGTCCAGTCTGCCTACCTCTTCCTTGTAAAAAAAGTACTTCTACCACTTTCCTCTGCACTGGATTTTTAAAAGCCTCTAGGTTCAGAAGCTTGTCAGAACTGAGAGTGCAGTTGATTATTATTATTACACTACTTTGATATCCTGCATTTTTTCTTTTTACCAGAAACCCAAAGCAGCTTACATAGCTCCATTTTATACTTACAAATGCCCTATGAGTTAGGTCATACTGAAAGTCCATGGCTGGCCCAAAGTCATCCAGTAAGCTCCACTGCGTAGTGGGGACAATACTCCTTACTGCCTATTTCCTCAGTCCACCACACCACATTTCATACAAGGAACATTATAAAAATGTTTTCAAAAATCTAAAGAATTAAAATGTTGGAGCCTCATGTCTGTTTTAACAACATTCTCTCCATCAAAACTCATTAAAATCTTACCTTTGGCTGTGACGATACAGGGGGTGTAGTTATTAGAGGCTTCAGAGGAACTGTGTTAGTCTGAGGCGTGCTTATCCTTGGAGATACATATGACCTTGGTGAAGAGGCATCCGAAGTTAAAGACATCGGGGACTGATTAGATGGCTGAGCTGTGAATAAGACCATGACAATTTTATAAAACTGAATCTGATTTTTAAAAAAACCAAGCAAACAGACAGTGTTCTTAGGACAGGAAGCCTGGAAAGCTTTTAAGAAATGAGAAGAGGCAGAACTTGTGATTGCATGAAGTGAAAGCCAAGAAACTAAGCTAATGGTACTACACAAAGGATTAAATATCTCAACGGAAGAGCCAAATATTCAGCAGGTATTTATGCAGTAAAACAAAGACATTTCTAGAAGCTAACAGTACTGACTACTGAACCTAGATGCTGAAAGGTTTAGTAGATTTGGACTCTAACTACAGAAGTAAAATTTGAATGGACACTACACTGCTGTGAAGTTTTTGCTTAAACCACTAAAGTCTCACACACAGTTTCTTATATATACATAAGTTAGCCACAGAGACAGATAGTTGGACTTCTGACTAAGAAAGCTACCAAAATGCTTAAGAAACACAAACTACATATAGTTCATCAAGACATTTGTTTGAGTCTGAAAGCAGGGTATTTGTATCTATCATGTGGAATGGGTTTACTTTAAAGGGTAGCCAGACAAGACTATGCAAGCAAATGAATTGATCTGACTTGGTCAATCACCACAGAACAATCCTCTGTACTGCACCAGTGAGCATACTCTTTGCACTGAACATGCTTGATTTAGATGCTAGGAGGACTTTTGCACACTGAACATGCTTGATTTAGATGCTAGGAGGACTTCTAATGGCAGCTCCAAGTTTATCTGTGTCTGTAGATGCAAACTACACAGAGCACCACCACCACCATCTAATTTTAAGGAGTTCTAACTTTAACTTTAAGATATCTCACATGGCATCTTAACATTTTAGTTTTTTCTTGATAAATTTGGAAGACAAAAAATGTAAAATAAAGCAAATTTTAGTCAAAATAACTCTCTGTTCATGATCATTACATCCTCTGAACAGGATGTCTCTACTGAGACCAAAATTCATACCAGGAGTTCTCCAGAAACCTATTTTGGGGGTCCAGAATAGGCATCAGAGATTTTGAACAAGGCTACTGTAAGCTTCTAATAAAGTGCAATATATTGGGGCTTCCTTTCTGGACACTGAATCAAAACAATAAAATAGGTTAAGAAAGCAGTATGTTCATGCACTTCTAGTAGCAATAGTTTCTAGTACCAATTTTGTTGGCTTTTGTAAATAATCAGCAAGTAATAGTTCAACACTTAAATTTCTTACACAAAGTTTCACATTAAACTTCATCCCATGCCTGATTACCCTAATAATTACATACTAGGCTGGTCTGGGTATGTTTAGATTAATCAATTACCAGAATCCCACCATCAACAGAACCTAAATATGTTATTCTAGAATACAACAAGAAGCTTCCAAAATACCTTGTGTGGAAAGTTGTGCTGCTTGAGAAATCAGGGAAGTTATATTAAAAGCAGATGGTCCAGCAGTGAGAATTTTATGGAGTATAGATTGCAGAGAAGCTTGTGTCACAGCAGCTGTAAGAACTAACATACAAATTAAGTGTATCAGCACCTCATTCCCTGAACAATATATTTTATATCTACCCTTTTCTGAAGACAAGAACTACAAATACTACAAAATGTAATCACTCAGTAGGTCAACAGAGAGGTTTCACTGCTTTTCCTTGCACCAGCTTTAATTTGTGGAGGACTACTTTTCCTGGTTTGGAAGGCGCCAAATGGCAGTTGGTCCAGCAAGTCAGTGGAATGGGTCCTGCTTTGTCACCCTCTGATGTTATCTTTACAACAGCGCAATACCATCATTGGCACAATTATTTTTAAAGAGAACCCTCAAATTAATATATCGGCCATGAGATGACAAGCACTTGATCAGCACAATTAATCCAAAGTGTGCTAATTAAAATGTGAGGTAATTGCTATTTACAAAACCTCAGTTTCTGATTCAGCTATTCCCTTAAGGTTTTTATTAGGTACGCACAGTTATTCTATACTGGCAAGGATGTGCGGTGTATAAGGAGGTAAGAAAGATTAAAAAAAACAAAACAAGACAGTGTTCACAGTTAAGTTTTAAAAGTCTGCTTCAGGTACCACATTTTAGATGTTCAGACTACTGAATCAGCTCACAGCTGCAATCCTATAATAATTTACTTAGGAGGAAGTCACATAAACATCAGGGAGGCTTATTTCTGAGCAGACACATAAAAGATTGCACTGCATATTATCTTTTCCCCTCAGTTTAGGGAGAAGAGCTTTGTTAACACAAAAATGAAGTCAGTCACAAGAGCTTCTCTCATCTTATTTTGTACTATAATGGAATTCTACACTCATCCACTTAGATGCAAGTCTTTCCAAGTTCAATGGAGTTTACTCACATATAAGCAACTATAGAACTACAGCTTAATATACATTACGTGAAATTAAATGATTAAAATGTCAACTACTTGCAATGACTTTAAGTACTTCTATTTGATGATCCCACTTCCTACTGCACTAAATAGAAAGAACCATTATACAAAGAATAATTTGTGACGTAAGTAACAAAGCTAGCTTCAGCCAGGACAAAGTGCAGATCTGCACATTCTGAGGCAACAAATGGAATCCCGATCCTATGCTTGCCTTGTAAAACTAATACCAGACCAGGATATTTGTAGGAGAAAAGTCAGCAGGCAGGATTTTATCCTTTCCAACTGTTTAATTCAGCGTTCTACTCAGTCAGTCTCTGAAACTGGTAGTGAACCAGAATGGAGAGAAAAAGTAGGAAGAGATCAGAGAGATGTAGAGTAATCAGTAGGCATAGAAAGTTTCAAGTCTCCAATTTCCATTTACTACTTTTCACCTGCAGTTCTCCCCTCCCCATCTCAAATGTTGGTTTGGGCACATGCTCACATCTAATACCTTCCTTGAAACTGGCCATAAAATACAATAGCTTAAGCTTACATTTAATTTTTTATACAAATCTCGTATTAATTTACATATCTGATACATTCATCAAATTACATTTACTAAATCTGTCTTCATAAGAAAGAAGCCTTTCCATGTAAGTCATTGCTTTGTTCAATATCCAATATCTTATTTGGATAAACCAGTATAAAAAGTCTTACCTTCATTTATTTTGGATATATCTACACTAGAATTATTAAGCTGTAGGGTGGCTTGAAGAGCAGGTAGTAACTGTCGAAGGAGGTTTGGGTCCTGAAGTAACGGAGGAATTGGCGATTGTGAGACAGGTGAAACAGGGACTGCAGAAGCAGATGAAGTTGGTGCAGAAATTGGATTCAGCCCAGAAGCAGATGACGTGGAAGGAGTTGTGCATGAATGGGATAGAGACTTGTCCATAGACACAGATTCTGAAGAGAACAGAGATACTTAAGATGCTGCTTCCAAACACAATTTGCTCACATAGCCTATATAAATTATAGATTTTACGCTAGACCAAGAGTGTTGAACCTTTTTCACCCAGAGGGCTGAATGCAGTCTCAGAGAAGTTTTCATGGAATACATTAGGTGGTGAGGGGGTCAAAGGCAAAAGGGGGCAAAACGTGCTACTGGGTAGTATAAAAATGAGGGAAAAACAAGTTTAATAACAAGCTCTTACTGAAAATGTCTGCACAAATAACAGAAAGCCATCGAACAACTGTGGGGTGAGGGAAAAGTGTAGAGCATGGGGAAGGGAGCATGGCCATCTGATGACCCCATAGGATCAAACTGGGACCACAGAAGGACCAGATTTGGTAACCAAGCCTAAGGCTTTGGGGTCATAGACTAGACAAATGATTACTTCCTTCCTATTTATTTTAATGGAGTTTGTTTTTATTAACTGTCTTATGTCCCATTTTCAATTCTTAAGGTGATTAACTAAAGTCGTATGAGTTTAATGTTATGATCTATCCTGAGTCCCAATCACTGTGAATAGGCAGGATTTAAATAAAAATAACAGCAACAACAATGACAACAACGTGCTATGGTAGGAGTAGAACCCAATCTGACCCTGTTGTGGTCAGACTGTGTTCCAATTCACCCCCTTGGAGCTTCCCTCACAAAGCCTCTCCCCAAAGTTCCAGCCCATCATTGGGGAGTTTCTCTCTACAGAGAAAGACAGTGCAATAGTATCATGCCCTTTCTCTGCACAAAGACAAGTTAATCCCTCTCAACACTACGGAAAAGCATCCCTTTCTTCGCTTGGAGAAGAAAACCCAATGATGTCCCATCATTTTTGTGATGGAACATGAGTGGGGCTTCCATTCCCAGTAGAAAAGCGTGCTGATTGAGAGGGGCCTGAGAAGACCTTTGCATGATGCATGCATGCAGCAGGGGTTCCCCACAGGTTCCCCTGTTATACAGAGTTTATAAAAAAAAAACTCTATTAGAAATTAACATAAATATTACTTGATAAAACATTAAAACTGTAAAAGAACAGAAATGACTCTGGAATTTAGCACAAAAGCTTCTTTTGTTAGCCCCCCCACCCCACCCCAAAGGGCAAAGCAGATGACATTTATTAGATTGTGCAAAGTCCTAAAAGCAAGTCACCACCACTGGTACTTGTAGAAACCTATCTTACTTTGAGAATAGTGGCACCTGTAAGGTTTCATATACCTCATATAATTCATTAAGTGCTCCTAGATGGACAAAACTATCCTACATGCTGTCATATTTTACCCTTTGTCTTGAACACTGTTGTCATGAAAGCTTATATGCTTAAGCCAATGAACAGCCAATTAATCTCAAACATTCTTCGTAAAAGAATATAATCAAAATGGTATTGGGATTAATCAGGTTAAGAAGAGATTAAATATGTTTTCCAGCAATGCTTTAACTTTTAAAATTGTATAGTTTCCAGTATCAACTTTACCACAATACTGGCAACAGTGCACCAGACATTTTCCGCATGGTGAACATTAACTATTGGTATATAAAAAACTTATAAACAACTTTTATTTCTACAGATAGATGTAACATTCAACACTGTGTGCCTTTAATTTCAATGTAATTATGAAGGTACTTCTAACTCCACCTAGAATTTAAAGTTTGGAATACGTATAATCTAAGCACATCTATCCATCAAAATGCGAATCCAAGCATATTTCAAACTGTCATCTGTCTGGTCAAAAAGGGTGTCAATTAATCAGTGAGTTCTTACATAAATGTGACAGGCATTTTTAAAGCATTAGCTTGATCAGAATGAAAAGAAAAAGAACCAATACTTATGTTAATTACAAAACTAAATTAGTAATCAGAAACAATCATTAGTAAAGTTTCTATTTATGTAAAATTCACATAAATAGTTTTATTTGGCTTGTATCCTGGAACAGAAGGCTCAGCCTAAAGTTACCAAATTAAAAAGAAAAACTAACAGTGTAAATTAGCAGAGTAGCCAGCTAGGTTACATGGAAGAGATACTATCTGGACTCTGCAGAAAGCAAATGGCTTCACAGGCATTCCTAGGCAGCAACCTTTGCTGAGGAAAATTACTTGTACTCCTGTTCCTGATGCCTGGGTTATAGCAAGCACCTCGACTTTCACTACTGAAAAACTAATTTTCAGAAATGCAAACTACACGTATCCCCCACCCTAACTTACTTTCCAGCCATGACATTTTCACATATTTTCTAGACAAAATATATGCATAACTTTGACTAATAGTTTTTAAAGCAAAAACTTTGGAGAATGCAGAACAGGATGGAGCAAATGGGGTGCTAGATAGCACCAGCAGAAAGTATGCCACCCAGCCAAAAGTGGCTCTACTTACTCCATACACCAGCCACCTTCTCAGGGTATTGTTTTTTCACAAGTATATAGGTCTGTCATGTCAACCCTTGAAATTATGAGGTAAGAGGGAGATCTTGACCCAACATCCTTTTGGTGCACCACTTCTCCCACTATCAATTATTTTCAATTGACAGCTGGTGTACGAATTAGCCTATATGCAGTCTGGTGGCATCAATTTCCAACTATGTTACAAACTGCACTTTGCTTCCTTTGACAGCTGAAACTTACTACATCAACTAGGCAAAACCACATATAGCAGACAGTCATAAGGTATATTTGTGTACATATGAAAAGGCCAAAACAAGACAAAAACACCCTCAAACAGAACTGCACAACTTACTTTGGCCACAGAATAGCTCAACTGCATTTCTGCAGCTATTAAAAGTACTTTTGAAAAATGGGAACAATCAGAAGGAGAAGGGAAGACAAGACAGACTCTGCCATGAAGGACACCAGGATACCAGCTGAAGGACTGAGGAGAAAAGAAGGAAAGAACACCCCACAGTGAGCCCAACTGACTGCCAGGCACACCATGGGTTGTTCTGTGAAGAAGCAACCCAGTGTGGCTTAAGTGTAGGGTGACTCTGCACGTAGTGAGAACCTGCTCAGCGTTTTAACAGACTTTTGCAACATGGTGCCCTCCAGATGTGTTGGCCATTAGCCATGCCAGCTCAGTTTGATAGAGTTGCCCAACTGGGACTGTTCCAGTTTTCACAATCATTCTCCACACCCACATTTCCATGTTTAAGTTAGGCATTAAAGAGAGAAACAGAGTATTTCTTCCTCCAAATTTTTTCCAGGTTTTCACATGTAAAACTAAAATTTAGTTTGCAGACAGATAGATTATATTTGTGAAGCAGCTGAAAACACTAAAGCATAGGTAAGCAATGTGGGGCCCAAAACACCAAATGTGTTCCATTCAACATCTTGCTTGGCACCTGCTGAGGTGTCCCTGCATTCCCACTTTTTAAATTTAAGGCATTCACTTTCTAGGAGCTTTTTAGTAAAGTAAAAGCCTTCAGATGCTGCCATCTTTACTTTCTGTTAATCCCTCTGGAGAACATGAAGAAACTCAGAGACATTCTTAAATGAAGACAGAGGGTGGCTGAGGACTAATGCTTTCTTTACTATGCATTGCACCAGTTACCCCAAAGAGTGGAAAAAAGAAAAAAATGTGCTGAAAACTGGCTTTCAGAGGGGCTTCAATGTATTATAGCCCCAACTTCGCCTCTGTCTTGTATACCGTCATTTTGGTAGGCTACTTTTTTTCTGCACCAGCCATGCTTCTCCTGGCAGCCATTGATGTTGGGGCCCATGACAATTTCTCAAATTGCCAAATACGGACCCACTCACCCAGAAAGTATCATTAGTGTTGCTAACTATAAACAGCTACCTTCAGTGGCATATTAATCTGAAATATATTGCAAACATAAAAAGCAAACACTTTTTTAAAATGGGTATAATAAGGCTTACTTTAACATTTTGTAATTCCCCCTAAAAATATAACTGGGAAATAGTTTGTCACTAGGATGTACCACAAATATAATATGAAAATATAGGGGCTCTATGCTATCCTAGTTTGACTGAACCATAAGTTAAGATTGTAGCCATCATCACATTTTTATATTTTGTTTCATGAACTTTTATCTTGCCTTTTGCACATGCCTTAAAAGGCCAACAAAATCAAAGTAAAACAATAAAACTCAATGAAAAGATACAGATGAAAACCTACAAAACCTGTGAATAAAACAGTTTGGAAAAGACATAAAATTAAGATAGGCCACTGGTTTCATAAAAGGCTATCAAACACAGAAATCTGAGGCATTAATTAAACTTTGTTTAGCATCTAAAACATATAAATAAAAGTACAGATCTAAGAAGGGGGAATCAGAATTTAAGGTAAGTCAGTAAACAAAATTCTACTTACACTGAACAGCCACCTAAGCTGAGAAGGTGGCAGCACCAGGAGAAGAGTTCTAGAGCGTTATGAAAGTTATCTATGTTACCTAAACATTTTGTTTAAACATATTTTACTACTACTGCTAATGTGCCAACACCAAGTTTTAATGTTTTGACAAAAAGGAAGCAGGGGAGGGCAAATATTTCATTCAATGTTTCCATACCATAATTTTACAAAGCCTACAACTCCTCCTATAGCTATCTTTTTCTAAAGTTAAAGTACCCCCATTTGTTAAACCGCTAAAGCGACATGTTTCAAACCCTTGGTTATTTTAGTTCTTTACTATATGACCTCCCTTAACCAAGATTTCCTTAAGAATGGGCAACAAGAACTACACATGGTATTCTCATTTGAAAGACAGATTATCGAGCTCTCTTATTCTTCAGTCTGAACTACTGTGCTCTGAAAATTACCAATTATTTATTGTGCTTTTTATCTTATGCAATGGCTTCTGAGATGCCATGTTTAAATACTCCAAAAGCCACTGAGGTTCAAAATACTCTTAGTATAAGATGGGCTACAAGGATATGCAATCCTGATTTAGGAGAAATCAGGAAAATTCAGCTGGGCTTCCTTGCATATGTAGAAGCACCTTTCCATTCACTAAGACATTTCTGGATATCAGTGAAGAAAGCTACATATTTAAATTTTGAACTTGCATTAAATACATGGCAGATAAAAACCAGAGCTGGGCAACCTATAGGCCTCCAGATGTTGGCTGCCATCATCTTCAGCCTGCATAGCCAGTGGTCAGAAGCATGGTTCAATGACATCTCAAAGGCTACAGGTACTTCACCTCAATAAAGACTTTCAACACCAGACAGGTCAGGCTATTGTTTTAAAAGTTAGTTAGTTTATTTATTTAGAGAACTTCTATGCCACTCCATTCGCCGAAGCCTCAGGGCAGCTCACAATCATAAATAAATAACATAATATAAAACAATATAATTTAACAGTATAAACTAAGTCGCCCTGGCCAAAGAATAAAATAAATAATATTAACAATTAAAATAACGTTTGAATAAAAAGGTCTTCGCCTGACGCCAAAAAACAAATAACGACGGCACGAGGCAGACCTCTCTGGGGAGCACATTCCATAGACTGGGCGCCACCGCAGAGAAAGCCCT